CTTCTGCAGGTTCCCGACGCAGGTCGGAAGAACCATCTCCGAGCAGGCACACGTAACGGCCCCCACGCCCGTAAACCTCAGCCCCCTCGAAAACTTAGAGTTCGCCTTCGCCAGGGCTTGAAAGCCCACACACGTACTTATCTGGGTAGCCATTAGGGTTATAAAAGAAAGGTGGGGCAAGGACCACCTACATCTGCATCACTTGCCCGAGACAACACATAGGAGTCATAGCCTTTGCGTGGCACCATGTACGCCATCCCAATACCCAGGCCTGGATCACTGGAGAAGGAGGACACTAGCTGATTTTTGAGACGAAAGTTGGCGTCCATGGAGTAGGTCAGAAAGTATAAGAACCTGTAAATCAATCAGAACCAGCCCCATTGTTAAACGCCGTGCATACATACCTAAGAGATTCTGGCGCCTTGTCCCATCCATCAGGAAGGTTGACTCCTGGGCGAGGACAGTGGGGGCAGCTCAAGCCCAGAGCGCCCTCCCCCACCCCCTCGACCCCTGCCGGGTCATGACCCACACCTCCCCTCTTCAACATCTTAAGGTGTCGAAATTGAAGAACCATCCGCAGAAGTGGCCGATATCTCGAAGTTGGCACGCTGAGGCCCGTGTTGCTGGTCAATTTCTCCAGTGTCCGGTAGAAGTCGTAAGTCGAACCCTTTGTGGTCAACGCGAGCAGATGGAGTAGCTGTAAAAGAGCGAAGGAGGCGCAAGTCTTAGGTATTTTTTGACTGGCTGGATAAAGCCCACACCGAAGGAGCTGAATGTGCTTTGGCACAGCACGTAAACAGCCGCAATAGTCGAAGGCCACGTCGTGGATGCCGTTTGTATGGAGAATGCGAAGGTCTTGGTGGCAGGGCTCAGTGTTGGTGCACGTCGATCGCATGTGGTTCAGCTGGATGCGTAACCTGAGGCTCTTCAGGCTTGTCTTGATAAAGTAATGACCACTCCACTTCTACGGCCCAGTAAATTAATGGAAAGAACGGCTGAGTGAAACTGGACGAACCTCTATATGATGCAACGGCAGACAACGGTGGCGTCGAACACAACACGAGGTGCATATGAGGTCAGGTAAGCAGCAGTCAGAACAGCGATGGTCGGGGGTGCCAGGTGAGGCAACTCTGCGAGCAACACAATCCAGGCAAGCCCTCTCCCGTCGAAAATCCCCTTGGCCCTCCCATCGAATGAACTCATCAAGGTACTCCGTTCGATGTCTTTCCTTCCAGACGAGATGCGGGTGCTTCTGGATGGAAATTAGAAAGGCAATTTGAAGGGAAGTGGAAGGGCTGCTTACTGATAGCCTGCTCCTGGCTTTCTTCTTCTTTTTCTGGACCTCTGGCGGCCCTCTGTCCTCCATCACGTCCCCCTCCATCGCTTCCTTGTACCACTCTGATCGCGGGTCCAGCCCAAACTCATTATCGTCAGCCACCCACATCATTTCCCCCATTTGAGCGGTACGCGGTGTCTCCGAGATGAGTCGATGAGAAGTATTAAATTGAGTTTCACAGGAGTTTATGATGTCCAAGTCATCGTTGAGCGGGAGTCGGTCGTGATAGACGCCTGTCCGTCGGCGCTTGGAAGGGCAACTTCCATTGGCGTTTCTACCACGATTGAAACGAGCGGTATTGGACATTTTCTCAGTATGTACTTGGAACGTACTCTGATTATAGTGACTGTGACATTCACATGACAAATTACATGAAATACACATACCGTGTTTTTTGTTGAACTCTCCAAATTTTGGCCACCTCCCTTCAGTCCCCATCCTCAACTTATAACGTGTTTCAACGTGTCCAGATGTTCCGTTAATCTGGTGAGCGCCTCATTTGTACCTTTTGCCCCCTTCCCCACCCACTCCTAGTGAATACTCTGAGCCCGGGGAATCCACTCAGGACTGGGTGTCCTTGTGGATGACAGTGAATACTCCGCGCCTGGGGAATACACTTGATTCTGCAATTTTTTTTTCCCTGCGCCTTTTTTCCGTTGAGCATTCGGTAGACCATTGACCTTTTTTACAGGCCTGATGTCATTCAAGACGACGGTACTACTGCCCCATGACCAATTCTGCTTCTCGAAACTCCTCATCGACAGCATCCAGCTTGAGGAGGGTTTTATGTATTTGTTCGGCTCTTCACCTCTTACCTCTCCTGAGCGCTCTCTCCCTCCCTCCTCCGCATCCTCGCCTCTTTCTACCCCACCCACCTCACCATTGTCATCGCCGCGATTGCTCGCTTTTCCCATCATGACCGACGACGACGACGTGCCACCGCAGTCTATGCCATCGCAGTCTATGGCACCCGTCCAACTTGGCCCACCAAACCGACCCACACATGCAAAGCGCCAGGGCCACGCCAATCGGAGGCGAAAAAGAGAAAGAGAGAGGGAGGCTGCAAAGTTAGAAAGCCAGGAACGAATTCGTCCATACAAGCCTCGCCCAGCTACTGTGAAGAAGCACGTCAAGTCCTCCAAACTGCGCCTCACGAAGTACAACAGCGACACGATTCCCATCGTGTCTTCGGGCTACGTAGCTCTTCCTGGGCCCAAATCATCATCCAAGTTTCCCCTTGAGCAGCGGTTTAAGATGCAGAAGGTCGTTTGGGACGGCACGTAGGTTTCTCCACATCGCTATTCGATGGATCGTTATTGACCCCCGCCCAATAGATTCTCCATACCCATCGTCGACGAAGGTGGTCAATACATCGGGCTCTGTGCCGGCTCTGATGCCTCCGACTGGCCAGACATGCATCAGTCTGCTGCCGCTGCTCTGGAGGAAGCTCGAGGAGGGGTGTCCTGGGGAAAAGAGGATAGGCGGCATAGGCGTGGGACCTTCTTTGCACGTAATGTTGGTATCTCGCATGGGGGTGGACAGACTAGGCCCATGGTTTTGCGTCACAATGCCCCCGACGACGCAGTTCTCTCTGGGCTCCTGAAACACCCCTTGTTCGTTCGAATGGCTGGACATGCGTCAGGTAGGCAAACAGAGCACCCTCTCACGACGTGATACTCACCTCTCCGGCCAGGAATTTTTGCCACGTGGGCACCTAGGCTCCACTCCTACTACGCTGACCACCTACAGAAGCTCCTGGACCACGACGAGACCCTCACCCATAACTTTGAAAACAGCGTCTTTGCCGCCTGTGCCTTCAACTTTGGCCCGCAAACCATATGCCATTGACATCGTGACCATGCCAACCTACCCTTTGGCTGGTGTGCCATCACGGCGCTTGGTAACTACGACTACAAAAAGGGCAGCCACTTGGTTCTCTGGGACCTTGGATTGGTCATTGAGTTCCCCCCCGGATCCACAATCTTTATTCCTTCGGCGTCGTTAGACCATTCCAACGCCTCAATTCAGAAGGAAGAGCGACGCTATTCCTTTACGCAGTATACGGCTGGGGGGACATTTCGGTGGGTCGATTACGGGTTCCAAAAGGCAGACGAATACCTCGCGTCTCTGTCTGAGGAGGAGCAGCAGGCAGCAGCTGAAGAAGGTCGCGATCGATTGGCGTTTGGACTCTCTCTTTTTTCCACCATCGATGAATTTCAATAGCCCTGTAAACACGACACAGCTGTATATACCATTTAGCATGTATATATTGCAATGCCCTTTTCCTTGAATCCATGCAGATGAACTTAATGGGTGAATGGCTTGAACGTATACAATACAACTGAGAGTACTGAGAGACTAGCTACTTAATTTTCCTTGAATCCATGCAGATGAACTTAATGGGTGAATGGCTTGCACGTATACAATAGAACTGAGAGCACTGAGAGACTAGCTACTTAATGAACTTCGGCTGCAGAATACCCAGGCAGATCACGCGAGAGCCTCAGGTCAACGCTTCAACACTCTTCTTCCTACCAAATGGATGATATATAAAATTCTATAGTCACCTCCGCTATCCTCTAGATATTTAATTGTCCTGTTCTACACCGTTCTACATGTTCCAGTGTGGATAGCATTAAGTTCTCGCGAAATCACTCAAAATCTCGCGAAATCACTCAAAATCTCGCGAAATCATTTGAGATCTCAAAAAACGATCCTTCCGAATCTGACGGGGATATCTGCGGCTGAATCTGCAACAGTCGTGGCCCTCACAGTGGACCCTTCAGACCAGATAATATATATATATTGGTTTGATGAGACGAGCCCACATAAGCGATCATGGGTAAGGCAGCTCATCCCAACCACAAAGATCACTGTGTCGTTTATTATTATCGGTGCGCCCCATTCATTTTTTGAGCACACCTTTCTCCTGAGTGGCTAAAAAACTGCAGAAACCAAGAGGCTCTACAAAGAAAGGCCCGGGAAAGAGCTCAACGGTACGTCATAACACGGCCGAAGAATGGGGCGGAAGGCACTCACATGCTGTTACAGTTTGAGGGAGTACCAGCGACAAAATGAGACACCAGAAGAAGCGGACGCCAGGAAGGCGAGACATAGAGCCGCGGCGGCCAAGTACCGAGGGACCCACCAGGCCCAAATAAATTTTCGGGCATGGCAGTGAGATCCTAAGTAAGTTAGACAAATTTTATTTGAATTGTTCTGAAAGGTTTTAGAAACGCCGAGAAGCTGCGTGTTTCGGCAAAGGAACTCGCCCCAATACTGGCTGCCATGGATGGAGCTAGCGAAAGCCTTGAATCTGGAAACTCAACCGATAGTGAATAAAAGGTTTCTGCACTTGGTATAGTCTAGCACGGCGAGCAGTTGGGGTGGTGGCAGTGTGTTGATACTTGGCTGAAACATGTTCAATTTTCGGTGGCGGAGTAGTGCAGGATCTGATTACTTGGCAGTTCAGATGAAGTACACCAAAAAAAGATTTATTGAGTAGAGGATGGGTATCTAGCAAATTCAAACAGGGGCAGTCACATTGGAGTAGATTCAGGCAGGGACAAGCACAATAGAAAGACAGCCGGTCCAACCGCAAGGCCGCATCATTGAATCTACGATTTTTGATGAGCAAGATCAGCTGAGCCTGTTGAACAAGTCCCTACCAAGTGCCTGCGCGACTTGTGTGAACTTGGATTTCTTCGTCAGAGTCCGCAAAAACCCAGCCCTCGCAATTGTCTTGATCTGCCCGTGCAGAATCAGAGTCCCACTCGCCGTCTGAATTAGGCTGGTCGTCAAAAAACCTATTAATGGGAACATCGAAGCGGCCCCCAGAAATGGGGATGGGCTCAAGGGTACGCATGTTGTAGGCATGGGCGTACACATCGAAGGCTGCTTCAAAGGTGGGGAAGCTTTGCAAAATATATTGGATGCGGCCCTTTGGGGCCGGAATGTTTTGAACTCGAATGGCTGCGTCGTGCCTGGTACAACGTGTCAGAGGCATGGTAGTGGGTTGTACGGGGTACGTACCATGCCGAGAAAAGCCCTACTTCTTCCCCCTTGGTAATCACGTAGGTGGTGTGAGGGAACGATGCCCTCCGCGCAATGAACTCGTCTGGGTGGGGGATGTAGTAAATGGGCTTGTCGTTGGCCGTCACTTGTGTGGCCTGGGGCTCTGCCACACTGCCGTGCGTAGTTCTGGCCCTGGGGGATTCTTGGGTGATCAAAGGCTCAGCCACAGGAGCACGTTTGGGGGTTGATGGTTGGGCGGGAGAGGGCGTGGGCAGGCGGACCTTTATGACTGGTGGCTACCACTTTTATGGTTAATCTATGACAACTGTCCAAGAGCCATTGTGTATAATGCCACAGGTTTTATGAAGGGCATCTCACTAGGATTGCCCATCTATTTCATTCCATTTATCACTGGAATCTTTCATAAGTTATAGACAAGGATAATGAGATATCATGGGGATATTTCATTAGGCTCTTTGGCCCTTTCATTATGACAAGGATAATGAGACTTTTCATGGGGATATTTCATTAGGCTGCTTCACTTTTTCATTACCATTTCATAGAATTTTTATTAGGATATTTCATTAGGCTCCTGCGCCTTTTCATTACCATTTCAAAGGAATTTTCATTAGGATATTTCATTAGGCTCCTGCGCTTTTTCATTATCATTTCTTAGAATTCTCATTAGGATATTTCATTAGGCTCCTGCGCTTTTTCATTACCATTTCTTAGAATTCTCATTAGGATATTTCATTAGGCTCCTTCGCTTTTTCATTACCATTTCTTACAATTCTCATTAGGATATTTCATTAGGCTCCTGCGCTTTTTCATTACCATTTCTTACAATTCTCATTAGGATATTTCATTAGGCTCCTTCGCTTTTTCATTACCATTTCTTACAATTCTCATTAGGATATTTCATTAGGCTCCTGCGCTTTTTCATTATCATTTCTTAGAATTTTCATTAGGATATTTCATTAGGCTCCTGCGCTTTTTCATTATCATTTCTTAGAATTTTCATTAGGATATTTCATTAGGCTCCTGTGCTTTTTCATTACCATTTCATAGAATTTTCATTAGGATATTTCATTAGGCTCCTTCGCTTTTTCATTACCATTTCATAGAATTTTCATTAGGATATTTCATTAGGCTCCTGTGCTTTTTCATTATCATTTCTTAGAATTTTCATTAGGATATTTCATTAGGCTCCTGTGCTTTTTCATTACCATTTCATAGAATTTTCATTAGGATATTTCATTAGGCTCCTTCGCTTTTTCATTACCATTTCATAGAATTTTCATTAGGATATTTCATTAGGCTCCTGCGCTTTTTCATTATCATTTCTTAGAATTTTCATTAGGATATTTCATTAGGCTCCTTTGCTTTTTCATTACCATTTCAT